GCAGAGATTAACTTTTAAACATAAAGAGAGTATTTCAAAACAGCACAGAGAAATCTGTATTCCCAAGACAGGTGAGCATGCCTCCACCAGCACTCCTGTAGCACTGTGACGTGAGACTGTTTCCCTCCCATTACCAAGCAGAGACTGGTTCTGGTTTTCTCATTCACATGTCTGTGTGACCTGTTCTTGTTTGGTCACTCAAGGGCTTTTTTATGGATTTGAGATAGGGCTCTTGCAGGGAACCGGCGAGACTCTTCATCATTATCACTTGAATGGTTTGTTTTTAAACATCCAGTACTTCCAAGCCTGGAATCTAACTTGCATTGACAGTCCCTGGCTAGCAGAAAATTATTCTGTCCATAAGAGTAACATGTGGCAGAAAGCAGACTCCTGCATGATCAAGATTATATCTATACCAAGTAGGCAAAGATCTTCTAATCTAACTGATTTAATTCATAGTGAGGCAGTAAAAATGCTTGGAATAGAGCTCAGAAATTTGTTATTAAAGAACGAGATGTGAAGTCTGTGTCAAAAACATCTATATGATTTCTACTGATATGGACATATTTTACTAGGAATAATAGCTGTATAAAAAAACAGATTATTTACAAAAATTCAAAGTGTTAAACTGCTAAGGCCTAGAAAAAAATTTATATATTTATTAAAAATTTTTGTATCAGCAGGCAGCTATTATGTAATGGATTTCTAATGTTCTGGTTTGTGCCAGACAGGAACTGAAATCCCTTTAGTCATGTAAATTCTTGCAACATCACAATAAACAAACCCACTCTATTCACTTTTGGACAGTACAATCATTATCTTGATAAAGTCTCCTTTTACCTTTTATTACTACTGTAGTTCAAGTGTTGCCCTTGTACCGACAGTAATTGTATACAAAGTTATTCCTTTTTTCTGCTCATATATTTTCTGATTAATGAAATGCAGCACAGCATGTTACCATAATGAATTCTCATTGTAAAATTCTGTTCCAAAGACAGGACTGCAATGCTGAAAATGCACAAATAAAAGATTTCATAATGCATAGTATCCTGTATATTAGGGTTGTGAGCAAGGCTTGAAGAAAAGTCAAGCAAGGACTGATTCCATTATTTTAAGGAAGATGTACAATCTGGAACATTGCATTGTTTGTGACAGGAAATGGACACATCTTGGCATTGATACCAAAAGGAGACAACAGATCTTGTAGGTTTATGTCAGGTGCATTTATCTTCTGTAAAATGCATGAAGTGGTTTCAGAGTAGCTGTAAAAAAAGTCTTTTTATTATTTCCACACAAAATGAAAACCTTCCTTAATTTGTGAACCACAGCTTCACTTTTTTTTAGCAAATTATTTGTCTAAAAGTATTCTTCAGCTCTCACAAGCAATATAGTTTTCAAAATCAAGGATATTAAGGTAAATTTTAGCACTTCCAAAAAATAAGCCTAGTATTTTTAAATGTAAACACTACTTTATACTGGAGGGAGGCCATGGAGTAAAGTGGAGTTGCTTCACCGAATGAACTAAACATCTCTCCAAATGAAATTTTTGCTCTGAATCAGTTTTAAACATTCTTGCATTATACTGAAGTGTGGATCTACTGTTACTGCTCTGAACTACATTTCTGAACATTATCTAGAAAATAAAGCTTGATATTCACAAAGTTAAAGAGAACTCTTACATGTTAAGTAACGCTTACTTAAAGTCCAGTTGTAATTCAAAATATGTAGACCTTTTCCATTACAAAAGAGCTCAAGATAACCCCCCAAAAGACTGGAATGGATTATTTTTCTTTCTTCTGGAAGCTTTAAATATCAGCAGCCCTTGAAGCTCTGGTATGACTAAAGATTTCTGTAAGTGAATTAGACAACTGCTATTGCATCAAATTCAATGAAATTACTCAAGAAATATAGAGATATAAACAAAAATGGAATTAGGCTCAATATAGAAAAAAGAGAAAGAAAGAGTAGTTAGTTCTAGATATGCACTGCACAGCTATGAGGTTTTGAAACAAAAGCAGAGTGCAATCCCAGTATTGTTCTATTCAGGATGCCTATTCATTGAAGAAAAAGGGGAGAACAGTTCATTAATCAGAGACTCAAGACACAGAAAGAGAGGAAGCAGGCTTTCATTTTCTGGTCCAAGTAACATTTGCTTAACAGTAAAGAAACTATATGAAATACAGAGAAAGAAAATTCCCTCCCATCACTTGCCAGGACTGAAGGAGAAAAATAATTTTAAATCAAGCCTCTGGCATGTAATAACACCTGAACTATTAGACTAGAGGACGTTGCTATCAACATATATTTCTAATTCAGATCTGCTTATTATTATTTTCTTGATTCTTATTTTGAATGTTCCAAGCATAAATATTTAATTTCAGCTCATGCGGAACATTTCACCTTACATAGCAGTGGGATCATTTCTCTTTAGAAAAGAAACAGATTTATGTACATAAATGGTGACACTCTGAAATAATATCTTATTTTTTATTTTTATTTCTGAAGTTACAATTTTCTTTCTTTTTTTTTTTTTTATCCTGAAACAAAAATAGACATTGCACTCTCAGCCTCTTACAGTATCTTACGTTAGCACTTAATACTTGCTCAATTAGTAAGGACAGACATATTCCTGAGACTCTTACAAACTATCGGGGTTTTTGTTGCTGTTGTTAGTACTCTAATACCACATCAAAATTATAGAGAAAATTTTCTCAATATCAGTTTATGCAAATCAACACATTATGTAGTCCACATTCACAACAAGAACATTAGGAAAACAAGTTGAATGGGTGGTTCACCCATAAATCTTTTCAAAAGCAGAAAGACAAAAAGATAGAATGAAAGGCAATTTTGTTCACTGTAACGCCCCAAAACCGTTTAAATATTGATCAAATCACAACTCTAAAGTGTGCCTTTCAGCTAATTGATTGAAAATATCTCATTACCCCCAGATCATCATAAGACATATTAGTCTATTCTCATTGACAGAGATAGATGTTCTCCTATTGAAATGTCATTGACAAAAAATACACATAACTTACTAGAATCAATGGTAACTTCAGATTTAACTATACCTGCAACCAAAGGAAGCTCAGTGAGTTTAAAATGGTTATTTTGGCTAAAAGGTCATTACATTAGCTTTTATATTAGCTATTTATGCTAACACTTTTGTTAATTCTGTTTTAAAATATCACAGTATTTTCGAAGTAGTTATCCTGCATAAGAAACTAACCTAGCATACATAATGGTGAAAGAGCAGCATTTGCCTTCTGCAGATGCATCACGTAGATGCTTTCGAAGTTTTACTCATTGTCATTCCTGTCACTCCTTTAGCTATCACTAAGTCAAATATATCCTAATTCCACAAATGTTTAAGTATATATTTACATCTTCATTAAACACAGTGAAATTAATCATGAAAAATACGTTTAAGCTTTTGCAAAATCATGGCTTTAGCTACCAGACTGTTGATTTCTAGTACTTTCCTAGTTTCCCCTGGTTTGCCATTCTTATTCTTAAGACAGAGGAGGCCTGTGTAACACAACACGAAGTTCTGAGGAGCAGCACCAGCATCTCCTTGAAACACAACATTACCCACACGTTTCTAAGAATCCCTATTGTTCGATGCCTAACAATATATATGCAAAACCACTGAGTCCGGACTTTTCCTCACAATAGAAATTTTTCTACTGTTTCTGGAAGGTGGAAGAGAGTTGGTAAAAATGAAAGCCTTTTTTAGTATTTACAAATGGCTTCCATTGTTAGAAGGTGCCTGAAACAAAATGCTGCTACTTTTCTTTTTACAGTCCCCACCCACATCTTGTAGCAGGGTTTCACTCACAGCACAGGCTGCTGCACCTTTTTCCTCTCCCTGCTAAAGAAATACAATACATTAAAATGCACAGCCATGGGGTTCGGCTTGTTAAATAAATGCTGAAGAGCAGAATATTCACTCTGCCGTCTTAGGTGCTGGAAGGCTGCTGATTTTCTTTTTCAAAAGGGCCAATTTTCCACCTTGAACTTGTGGAGGCCCTTCTGTCAAGAGGGGGTAATTCTTCAGCTCAGCACTACATTTAAAAGCATGAATTTGGAGAAGCTTTTGTATAGCTTCTGGTTCAATTCTTTTTAATATACAACAACAAAAAAAAGCTTTTGAAAATCTTTTTTCACCATGTGTAAAAGGGCTAGTTTCAGTAGCAGAAAAATTCAGAGAGGAATGTTCTCTCCTATAACTAGAACAACTTCAAAGATGAAATTCAGGAGTGGAACAATGTCTATAAGGAAAGCGAGTAACATTAAGTCTAGACGCTTGTACAAAGCTGAGGAAGATATTAAGGGAGATATTTTTCTTCGCAGAACCAGCATTGTCTTCCACGGGAACAAAAATAATCATTAAAGCAAGCTAGTTTCCCCTAGACATTCTGAAACTCTAGATAACTAAATTTTCCAAATATTTAACATGATTACCTTTCGAACATTACTATTAAGAAACAAGCTTAAGAACAGGCATCAAAATCTTTCATTTTAAAAGCTGTGCACCAATAAGGATTGCCAAGCACAGCCAGACACATCTGAAGGAGTACTTTTAGCCCCCCTACTAATAAAATCTCCAATAAACACATAAAACATATACACAGAGAAGAGATCCTTAAATAATAAATGCATTCACATTCAAATTTAAATATTAAGGTTCACCTTAACTCTTCTTCCACTCAGACTGATGGAAATATAAGAAGGATAGCTCAGAAACTCACCGATATTCTAGATCTTGGCAACATTTTCCTTTCTTTCTGAGAGTGAGTATGCTTGTTAATGCATCCAAAGCAACATATAACACTTATTTTAAAGTACAGGAATATTTAATAGAATGCAATGCTGAACCACTAAGGTGAACCACTAAGTAAGGGTATTTCTTCAACAAGGGGTATTAAAAGGTCATTTTAGGCATTGAAAATTATATAACAATATAAAATTACAGTTAATTAAAATAGAACATTTACCTTGTAAGATCCAGGTTCCATGGATACAAGCAGGAAAGAGTTCACTGCCAAGTTTTCCAGCTCTATTGCTTGCTTACTAGGAAACAAGAAGAGGAAAACCCATTTAGAATACTCAGTTGTATTAAGGTCTTTGAAATGGTGATGGTTTTAGTGAAATTCCTTAGTATGGCTTAGGATCATATTTAGCTCTCTCCTACAGAAAGAAAAAGAGCAAAAAGGTTTGTCAGAGCTATAAACATCCCTACTGATGTAAAGAGGCAAGTGAAAATTCCAAATACCAAATAATAATGTGTACTCGCTGGTACTCTTGAGGAGGCAGAGAACTATGTTGCCTACAGCAGCTTAGAAAACAGTTTACTAAGGCTCGAAAGCTGAAACTGACAAAGTATTAAACATAAGACAGAGACAAAAAGAAAAAAAAAAGTCATTTCAACAGGAGGTTTAGCTTGTTCTCTCCACTTGCAATGGCATTCGGCATTTCCACAGCCAAGTGTGTTCTATCCCTGTCTCCTACTCCACAGCAAGCAATGAGCATTTCAGAACTGTCACCCCCGTCTTGCCATATGGAATTAAAATCAGAACTTTCCACTTATTTTACTGAAACACAGGACAAAAATGTGCTGAAGAGGTATGGCAGAGAGAGAAAGGAAATTTCTGACTAGTAGGTTTCTCTGGACCAGAGTAACCCCTGCTAGAGCAAAAGAAAACACAATAATCAAGAATTACACTGATACCAAATTCAAGTTAATTTCCTTGTGTTATTTCAAAATTAATCTAAAAAATATGGCACAGACTCTTTCGATCAACATATCTCCCATAGTCTTTCAGAAAGATAATCCCAGATAATAAAATTCTTTCTTTGGCTGTTATACAGAAATAACTTTTCCAAGAATTTTCAGACTGCCTGAAAAAGAAGAGTCTACACCTCCCCATAAAACAGGCTATGGTCTGACAGAAACTGTTTTGAAAATTCACAGCAGCATATGAAAAAGAAAGAAACAAATATTGCTTCAAATATATTTGTAGTAAAAATTTAAACAAAATATTTTTTAGGGTATTATATAAAAATAGTATTGCAATTTTGTGAAAGACCAGATAAATTTCATGGTCAAATGGTTTTATGCAACTCTCATTCAGCTAACCTGCTATGCATTTACCAAAACACTGTTATAAATATATAAGTTAATTCAAACATTTTGTATCATATGCTTGATCATAGATAAGACAAACTGAGCAATAGCTGAACTGTAGTTCTGAGCTGTTCTGCAGAATGCACATAGTGGGATGAATGTTCCTCTTGTAAGAAGGGTGATCATAAAGATGATGTTTAGACATAAAGTACTGATATTTAATAATTAAAAGTAGTTAGAAGAGTATTCTGTTTTTCAATACCTTTCCCGAATCTGGTCTATTTGACAACTTCAATTTTGATAATTATCTATCATTAAAAAAAAAAAAAAAGAATTTCCAAGTAATACTGTTCTTACTGTTGGAAGGGGTTTTAATGCTAAACTTCAGATAAGCAATTGTCACAAATTATATGTGACTGTTTATCAAGTACCACATAATCTTTCTCACTTAAAATACAGACATATCATTGCATTCTTGGCAAATATATATTGTCCTGAAACATTGTCCTAAACTGTTTTCATACTGTCACCTAGAGAAAACACCATCAGAAAACACCCTGGAGCATCTGTGAAGGGAATGAAGCTGGTTTACCGTTTCAGTATTCACTTCCAGATATTTTAGTCTTTGCTGTTTCACGTAGGTGCAGTAATATAGGTAAAACAGATCATGACAAAAAGTTTTATGCATGCCTCTGTACAACTGTACTTTCACATATTCGTCCATCTCAGAAACTAACATAGAAGTCATTACTAAATCACATTTAGTTATAGACAGATAACTAGTTATTGTGTTTTTCAACAGTAGATCTCCATTTTGCAACGATGACAATTATCATCATCCCAATTACACAGAAGTCAATCTGAAGCATCAGGAAATGATGCAAGCTGCAAAAGGGCACTTGGAAGCCAGTAAACAGCTGCAAGCACCCAGGGCAGCACTCTCTTCACCAGATAATGCTGTTGCTACCTTGAGAGAAGAATTCAGCTCATTTAGGAAACAGATGAGATTCGAATCAACAAATGCTGACTTCTTGTTTACAGTCAGCTTGCTACACAAACACATTTGTCAAATTATGTGAAAATAAACCTTAGTACAGAATTACCTTTTTTTTGTTGTTTTTTAAATGCACTACCACAATGGAACCTAGCTGAAAATATTCTCCTCTAGTTCCCTAGAAACAATTATTTTGAAGGAGTGGAATGATTCAGCACATAGACTAGTCCATCTCTTGGGCATCTGAGGCCCCTTTATGCAATTTGCTTGGTACTTTGTAGTTCTGAATGATACACTTCCCCTCTCCCGCTCCCTCTCCTCCATCCCCTCAAAAAACAAAAGAACTGAGAAGCTCATGTGAGGAATTCTGAATCCTGTGAATTTAAAAGGTGTGGGTAGAAAGTTTGCCACTGAATTTTTTTAACAATTGTCATGGAATAAAAGCTTAACTTTTCCAACATTTTGTTGAAACTTGAACATATTCTCTTCCAACACTCAGAAAATTAAACTCCTGTTCTTGCCTAAATCTGGTTGTACTGCTGCTACCTTTGTATCATCTACCAGAGAGAGCCACTGAGTAAAATAATTTCAAAGTCAAATCCTTTTATTAACAAAGAGGTCAAATTATTATCTGAAGAAATGGAAATATCCAGAGATACAAGAAAGCAGGAAAAGAAACACGAGAAAATAGTATTGTCTTGTGCGAATGAGAAAGCAGAATAAAAAAGATGCTCTATTAACAGATAGAGCTTATTTCTAGACAGTTTATTTAAATTTTAGCTTATGTTCTTTATTCCTTCTCTCTAAGTAGACAAAAAATATCTTTTCTAGCTCAAATCATAAGAAGTATTAAAACATACAGACACTATAAAATACATTTTTTCTATGTTTTCTCTCTCTCTTAATAATTTTATTTATATTAGCACAGTGCAGATATTTTTTTCTCCAAGAATTTCAGAGTAGAAGCAATAAGAAGGACTATGTTTCTCTACATGCTCCTGCCAACTCTTGTTAAGAAAGCCAGACAGAGGTGTCTACTTCTGCATGCTGCCATGGGGTTTACACCATTATTATAAGTCAAAAGAGCAACAGTTTATTGGCAGCGTTTCGTAGCAAAGAGAATGTCAGGATGCATTTGCTTTTATACTGAGCAGGACATCCTTGCTAGAGGATGGGCAATTTCTTTGCTGCAGTTTCTTACCTCACTGTTCTTTATTTGTTTCAATGAAAAGGTATTTCCCTCCAAAAGAAACAGTGCTACTGCAAAAATGTTAATCTCTCCACAATACTTTCCCACAGAGATCAGAAGTTCTTTCCCATGCTGGAAGAGTGTCTTGGGAAAGATTTCTGCACTATACTGAATTCCTAAATGTATTATGTAGCATTAAGCTAAATGAAGAACACTCTGCTTTAGCTGCCGTGTAGTTCAAGGTTACAGGTTTAAAGCTAACTTATTTGGCGATTTCTACTGAGAAGGGAGGAGCTTTATTTGGAACTGACTTATGGTAATAAAGGCTTCGTCAGGTTTCCATTTCTTGGGAACTGCAACTGTTTTTGAATTCTGGATTCTTTTCAGATTGAATGCTGCACAAAATCAGAAATAAAAAAAAATACAGATAAGCAAACCCACCATGCCTCTAAAAGTTTGTTTCATTTCTTTCTTGCTGAAAAAATAAGGAAGAGTTTTAAACATTTTAGCCAGTCTCCTTCACCTTTGTCTGCACACATAGCAGATTTAAAATACAGATGGGACTGAGCAAGGGAGAATTTGACTCTGAACTCTGCTTTAGATTCCCTCCCACCTTCAAAGGATATTTGAACAATCACACTTTCCCCCTCCCAAAATATAGTAGTACAATGGAATATCAACTTCAAAGTCATCTCCACGGCAGAGACTCAAAAAATAAACTCCCTATTGGTGATAACGTCTCTAATTCATTACTTCATTATTTCTGAGGGCAAAACCAAGGTGGTAGAAGGGGGGTTGTTACGAGAAATTCCAAAGGGTGTTCCACAAAGTCCATTGCAAAAGGCCAAAAGTTTTCCGGGACACGAGAAGAGGTTCGTGTATAGATAAGTGGCTGCCTCAAAGGTAAGAAGCAGAGGAATTAATCAACTTTGCCAGTAGCAGGGTGTCACTATTGGCAGTCTCACAACAATCTGCCCCTGGCCCTGAGCTGCTTAGCACACTGAGTTGCTCTTTAGCTGGCATGGAGCTGACACTGAAGAACTGCAGAAACTTAGTTGTTGCAATAGCAGATGAAATCCAGCGTTGCTAGATGTAAAGTTATGCATATGTAGAAAAAAGTCTAGCATTATATTAAAAAATGGTGGATTCTGATCTGATTATTACCTCTCAGAAGTAAGATCTGGGAGTCCTGGGAAGCAGTTCTGTGAAGATATCAGCTTTGTAGTAAAGAAAGCAGACCTGAACGTTAAAAATTGCTGTGAATGGAAAAGAGAAAAAAATGGAAAACACTAAGACATATGAGAGGGGAGGGAAAAACAATGTTCTGTAAAATCATGAGTGGCGTAAGTAGGGGCCAATATAAGAATAAGAATAATAATATAAGAATTAGTGGGATTTACAAGAGACTCAGCAGAAGAAAAGTCCAAAACAAACAAAAAGATGTTTCATTCACAGATAATGTGGAGAAACCATAGAACTTTTTGCCCCAAATTCATCAAAATTTATGGAGGAAAATCGTAGGGCGGAAACACCCTTTGGTAACCCAGAATACTTTACCTAAACTCGTTTATTCCAACTGGATAAGTGTAAACTCAATCACGCTGTAGCTTTAAGGAAGAGGAACAGCTGCGAGTGTCATAGCATTGAAACAGTCTCCAAACACACAACACAGGAACAGCCTGTGGAGCCTTGGGAGATGTCAGTCAGATTTTTTGACCTGCATGCCAGACATATGTGAAATGATTGAAGAGAGTTTTGTCATAAAGCACACAAGAAACACGAGTGGCATGAAAGTAAGTTATGTGGCCAATATATCCTAAAATATAGCAAACATTTAAGGTCACAGAGCTAAAACTGAGATGCAGTAACAGCGAAAAAGCTGACTACTTGTCAGCTTAATAGTCAGACCATATATATTTCAGATTTTAAAGAAAATTTCAAAATTCTATTAATAATGATGAGTCTCATCCAGACCTATACCTGAACACCATAATTCACCATAATAATTATACCTGATGTATAATTTATGGAATGATTTAAGCTTAAAAATCATGCAATTTTTTGACCATACAATTTTGTAAGTGGTAACTGGTCTTTTCCCCCTCAGATTAAATCATTACTTTTTTTAAAGATGTTGCAAGATGCATTGAGGAGAGTGGTAGTTTGTTTCATAAGTCTGACATAGTTCAAACCACAAAATGTTTCTTGTCAAACTTTAAAGAATTGAACAAATAAAACTTTTTCATGTAAGCCTAATGCTTTTTTTAGCAGATTAGTTAGAATGCTTGCAATATATAAGCTCAAAGCCTGTTTTCTAAAAATCTAATTCTGATATAAAGCTAATACAGAGCTAATATAAAAGTAGATCTTGCAGGACAGAGATAGCACATTTTCCCTGGAAGCGTATCTTACATGCTTGGTATTTAGGATCTTGGTATTCAAAATTCTGAGTTGAACAACATTCTGTAAGCATTGACTTTCAGAGTCAGCTTCAGGACTATATGGTAACGCTTCCAAAACTCTTCCACTCCTGGTAGAGTTGCTACACTGTGGACCACTGTAACTGACATGCATCTTGTCCTCACTTCATTCCACTATCCCCAGCTAAGGAGAATTTTACAGTGAGACAGTGAAACTGTAGCTTCACAAGAGGAGGCATAGCACTAAAATGTCCAATGAATTCTCTTATGAAGACATGTTGCATTCAGTATATGTATAGCATTTCAGATCCTGCATAAGAAAAGAGTGAAATTAAAAAAAACAGACATTAAAAGTAGGTGCAGCTGAAAGTACTCAGTTTAAATTGCAGAAAAAATAGATTAAACTTTATCGGGGAAAAAAAATGCCTAATCTAAGGACAGTCTAGCACTGAAATGAACTACCTATGGCAGTAGTAGAAGCGCCAATATTTCCGTTACCAAGAAAATTCAGAGAAACTTTTTTTTTTTATAAATGACATATATACAGATAGATTCAAAAATGTTTAGGGGAATGGACCATGACCTCTTGAGGACCTGTTAGATCCATCTTCTAAGATCCTATAAATCATTTCTAATATTTTAACAACAGAACTGAATATAGGCTTGGATTTATATTTTATCATTTCCTCTATAATGTATATCTCTCATTAGCTTATTCCAGTTACCATAAATAATCAAAACTGAACTGAAGTAATATTATCATATTTGAAAAGCTGAAACAATCTGCTCAGATTTCCCTTTTTGAATGTCTTCAGAGTTATATGTTCTTCAGTAACTGCAATTTCTGTTTTAAACAGGAAGTCATTCTGTATGAATTTTTTTAAATTAATGAAGTTCAGATTTCAAAAGCCAGCCCTTCCACGCAACCCTCTTATATCTCACACGCTTTGCACAATGTGCGTGCACATTCATTGATGCCTTTGGTGCAGGTAAAAAGAACAGATATCAAGTCATTTTACAATAACAGAATTAAATTGCCTCTGCCATTTCATCATTTTTCATCATCATGTAACCTTCAGATAGAATGCATACTTACTGTGTTTAATATTTCACTCACAGAACTACTGTGGACAAAAGTCATGTTAAGAAGCTTATGGCCTTCACCAAATAACTCCAAAAGTCCTTTCTACACGTTTATTTGGTATGACTCTTGAGAATTCACTCATTTTTCAATAAAAGTCATTCTCTGTGATAGTATAAATATGCAAAGAATTTGCAAAATTAAAATTACCAAGAAATGAAAGCAAACAGCCATAAAGAGACAAAACCTAATGGAATTGAAGATAAATGGAAAAGTATCAGCTGGTCCCATCGTAACTACCTGTCTTTCTCTTTTCTGTATTTTTGTCATCAACAGGATTCTTCTATAAAGGCTATATAACTATCACTTCCACTTCTCTAAATACTGCTGAAATGCTACCCAGAGTCAGAACCAAAATTAATGAGTTTTAACGTCTTGACTATAACCATGTATCTCCCATAGGCATTGATTTAAATCTGTGCTACTCCAAACACAAAGGTAACTAATATTCATGTATGTCTCAACCTCAAAGGTCTCAGTCATCCCAACCCGTCTTCTCATATGGTACGTGACGTTATTTGGTGTTTCCACATCAGCAGAGCTAAAGCTATAAGAAATTGCTTAATAACAGACAAACATCTGAACATTTCTTGCGAGGAACCACTTGATCAACTCACTTTCAGTAATCTGTGATGGCAACACATGGCTCAGATAGATACTCTTAGAGCTGTGAAATACCTCACAGGGGAAACATTTTCTGGGAACCACTCCGTATTTAACTTTAAATTTTAGAGACATTCAGGGATGAGTGGTTAATATAGATCAAAAACTGTTATATGAACTCTCCCTTTTTACAGTGTCTCATGCTGTCATGGGCATCAGGAAGACATGCAGTCTCTTATGAACCGAAGACCTGACAAAACTGCATTTCACCTCCCCCACTTATTCTTCCCATTCAGTGTAAAAAGAGTTAGGGACATGGATTAAATTTATCACACTGATCTGCAAAACCTCTATATGAATATCTAGACTTTCCATTAGTTGCTTATACCACTTGACATTTACTCATTACTATTAATTATAGTTTTCATTAATACGGAGTCTGACAGCCAGCTTTATTTAGCTGCATGATAATTAGTTCAAAAAGAAATTATATACTATAATATCAAAGGTTTGTAACAGTGCATTTTATAATCTTTTCTCACTAGCTTAGCAAATAAGATTTGTCGTAAGAAAAACTGAAGGTATAAGACTTTTAATCAGGAAGGTTTCCCATCTTAGTGAGATGCGTGCTGAGGCAAGAGATGTTACCAGAATGGGGATTAAGAAGACATGCATCTGCTTGAGCCCAGTAGTACTCTTGTGTTTTCTGTACTTGGTTATAATCATTGTGTTTCAGGTGGCTTCCACCCGTGTGGTCTGCAGGCCTCTATTATCTATACTATCGTGACAAAAATGAATGGTATGTATAATTTCAGGAACATCTAAAGGTAGACCTGGTATCTAACTTTAACAGTGCAATGTAAGCCTGAGCAAATCCAATAGCAAAGCTGCTATTTCTTAGCTTGTGTATGTAAGCATGTTTAATCTTTTATTTGTTACTCAGATAGGGCCTGATCTCTTCTAGGTCAGAGAAGTAAAAATGTCTGTCATGCTTTCATGGATGCTATTAATTCTAACCATCGATACATAGACACAGATTTCAGTGTCAAGGGTATGGCTTAATGACACCACAAAGTGTTGTTTAAATCCATGGGAATTACCAATCAAGCAATTACCATGCTTACTGCTTGTATGATATACTCTGAAAAAAACAAAATTTGAGCTGCATCTGAAGTTTCCTTTTTCTTTTCTGCCCTCAGGATTTCTCCTTATTCATAGTCAGACACACAAACCAGTGGCTGAATTAAAAAAGACGTGTAAACACCTGTAAAATAAGACAACTCTTCAGCACGCATATATAAGATATAACTGATCTTACAGCTGCAATCTACTTGTAACATAATTGATTCCTTTTAGCAATATAACAGAGAATGAAGGATTGTCACTAATAACTTGATCAACTTTATACAAATATTGGTATACTAAAGCAAAATATTATTTGACCTTGCACTTGTGATAGACAATAGATGATTTAAGCACAGACCTGATTCATTATACAGGGCTGTGTTTATAAAACACATGGCATTTGTCTTCAGATGGGGAAATAGAGCTCTTGCCCCAAGGATTTGTAGTAATCTTAGTAAAACTGTAGTCTGGAAGTCAGTATCAACACATTTATGCTTTCCTTACCTTTCGGCAACATAACTTTCAGGGCAAGAGCTCTAGCAGCAAATATTTTCAGTTATGTAATCTGAACTTGGTGCAGCTAGTGAAGCAAATCAAAATACTCTAAACTCCAGATGCTTCATTTCATGAATTCACCCCAAAGCAAATAGATTACCATCTGGGCATATGAAACAGAAAGATAAAAGACACACTTAAACTAGTCTGTGTTTGTGTTTGTGAGTACACTGAGTATAGTTTGTGAGAACAGCCTATCAGTATACGAATTATACTATTTTAAGAGCTAACATACTGTGAATTAGCAATGTTTTCTGCCTGAATGGTATTGGAGATACTGCTGAGACTTTGAGCTGACATTTTGGTCGAACCCGCAATATACTTTCCTTCAGTTGTAAATGCTCCAAGAACATCAAAATGTTTGACCCAACACCATCAATAACTTCTGGACTAGCGATTTATTTTTCCAATTACTGTTCTTCAATTCAGATACTCAGAAAACACACTGAGGCTATTTAAAGCGTATTATTTCAGAGAATGAACTATAAATGCCCAAAGACGTTGAACTCATTTCCCTGGGTGGCTTTTACAACCTGTTTTCTTACCTTCATACACAAATTAAAAGCTCGCACCATAAATACATGCCAAGCCAAGACAATAAACTCTTTTTCCATGACTTCTACACATAAATACTTCAACCTTTTAAAAACCTGATGTATTTTCACATGGTTTTGAATGCCTGCTATGACATTTTGGACACACTAAAGCTCATAGAGAGCAACTCCCACTGATTCTAACCGGTATTATGGTTCACCTTTTAATTTCTTTTGCCACATAAAGGTATTTTATTGCAGTTAGTACA